CAGTTCTCAGCAGTTGCCTGAGGGAAGATCAGGACTGCAATTTCTCACCATGGGTGGCCCTTCTCCATAGACATCTGCAGCCTCTGCCCTCTCCACATTCCCCGGGACACTGACCTGCCAGGGCTGCAGGCAGAGCCAGCTTAGTCTTTGCTGTCTAGACACAGTCTAGAGTGAACTTCTCTTCTAGACCTTAGAGCAGAAATGATTATTTTCGAGCCCATCTAGTGTCTTCTCAGTAATCTGATGCAATTTCAGAGTATCCTCAGGTGATACAATTTGTGCTTACTTTCTTGTTACTGCTTGTAAATTCTCTATACAAATAAATCTAGGAAAATGTCTGAAATCCAATCTAAAAATGTAAAAAAAACAAGAGTTACTGAACCCAGCTTGAGGTTTGGAATGACAGAAATTCACCACTGTTATGTGAGGAGTGGGAAGCCAGCCGACAAATCTGAGGCCTGTCACAGTCAGCCAAGCGCGGTCAGAGGAGGATTACGAAACAAGAGCCCTTCGATTGCGCCACCACCCACCACGCAGGCCACTCTCCCTGCGCGTGCACCCTGCAGTCACGCTGCCCGGTGCAGGTCTCCCACTGTCAAGGTTGAGAATGTCTGCTTGTGCAGGAAGTATTTCCCCATTGTCACCTCTGCCCCATGAAATTATTATAACAAAGAAAAGCACTGCCTTTGGCTCAAACCCACATGACACTTTACTGTTGACAACTTGTATGAACTTCATCTTGGAAGTTAGTCACGACTCAGTTTAGTCTCCTAACTTTCTTTATATTTTGTCATTTAAATGAAAACTATTTCGAGTTCTTCAGAGTTATTTTCAGAGAGAATATTATATGGGAGTTTAAATTCTGAATGTATATTGTTGGACTTTTAAAGTAATCAATTTCTGTATAAACCTAATCTTTGAGTTTTCACATTTTACATATCACCCATGATTAACTTAAATGCCAACTCTCTTATGGTTAATGTATTTCCATTGCCAGCAGTATTCTCCACTAACACACATCAAGATACTAAGGTGATGCCTTCTGAGATTATATTAAAAAGACCAGATCAGATTTCCAGTATTTAGGATTAAACATTGTCATGCATACTGCTCTCATAGCACAAACCAAACATTTACCAATGTGACAGTGTATTTCACCTGTCTCTAGAGGACAAGCTTCGGAAGTTCCCAGGATGAAAGCAGCAAGAGCTTGCCCAGGGCCTAGGAATTAATCTTGCCTGGGAAATCTTCCACCCCCTAAAGTCCAGAGAAAAACAATTTAAATAATGGGTCAGTTCCTTTTTGATAAGGCTATTGGTTATAAGATGAATTCCAAGGTGTTCTGAGTGTCCTTTTTGCTAACAATAGACATTGGATATGGCAGGCGTCCCCAAATTGCGGCCCCCTGAGGCCATTTATCCAGCCCCCCCCCCACCACCGCTGCACTTCAGGAAGGGGCACCTCTTTCATTGGTGGTCAGTGAGCGGAGCACAGTATGTGGCGGCCCTCCAACGGTCTGAAGGACAGTGAACTGGCCCCCTGTGTAAAAAGTTTGGGGACGCCTGGGATATGGTAAACTTGAAGTAACCAAGAACTATTAAAAACTCTTGTTCTGGGCCAGGTGCAGTGGCTCATGCCTATAATCCCAGCCCTTTGAGAGTGCTGGGAGACCGAGGCGGGCAGATAACAAGGTCAGGACTCTGAGACCAGCCTGGCCAACATAGTGAAAACCTGTCTCTACTAAAAATACAAAAATTAGCTGGGCATGGTGGCACATGCCTGTAATTCCAGCTAGTCAGGAGGCTGAGGCAGGAGAATTGCTTGAACCTGGGAAGTGGAGGTTTCAGTGAGCCAAGATGGTGCCACTGCACTCCAGCCAGGGTGAAAGAGCAAGACTCTGTCCCCCCAAAAAACAGAAAACAACCCAAAAACTCTTGTTCTGGAATATAGTTTATCATGACTGGTCTCAATGCTATGTGAAATTAGGAATCAAATTCTGACAGCAGAAAAAACATCTCATATGCTTTCCTACTGCTTCTCATAATGTGCCTTGCATTCTTACCTTCATCTTTGCAAGTGCTCAGGGCTCTGTGCGGAAAGAGGAAGTGTGACAGTTAAAAGCTTCCTGTGACCTCGAAGCGGGCCAGGTGCCAGTCAGTCCTTCCCCTGGTGAGTCCCCCGTCACTCCTGCTCGGGCCCGGTCAGTAGCTGTGGTCCCTCAGATCCCTCTGAGGGAGCAGATCCCACGCCACTCCTGCATCTGCGCCTGCTTTGACTGCACGTGCTCTCCCAGGACTCCCTCAGCTTGGATGCAGCTTTTGGCCAGCAGCAAAGACCTCACTGGCCTGTGTCTCTCCATACTCTCTCCTCAGGAGTACCAGAAAAGTCCACTGAGTCAAACCATTGCCGGCCAGATACGGTGGCTCACGCCTGTAATCCCAGCACTTTGGGAAGCCTGAAGTGGGTAGATCATGAGGTCAGGAGTTCAAGACCAGCCTGTCCTATATGGTGAAACCCCATTTCTACTAAAAATTACAAAAGTTAGCCAGGCATGGTGGCACACACCTGTAGTCCCAGCTACTTGGGAGGCTGAGGCAGAAGAATAGCCTGAACCCAGGTGGCAGAGGTTGTGGTGAGCCGAGATGGTGCCTCTGTACTCCAGCCTGGGTGACAGAGAGAGACCATCAAAAAAAACCAAAAAAACAAGAAAACAAAGTTGCCTTGGTTTATGTCAGGGCTTGTTCCTGTTCAAATCCCCTGTAGTATCTGCTCCTGGACTGTGGTACTCTGCAGGCTTCCACCTGGGCTGACCTGCAAGGCCATGCCTTCAGGGAGCTGGCAAGTCTCTGAAATGGAAAAACCCCTTGCTCCCTACTTGGCACTAATGGCTAGCAGGTTGGGAGTTTTTCCAAGGTGATGAAAGAGAAAGATTCCAAACCAAAAGCCTTGACAGTGGCTGACTCTACAGGGCTAGGCCCAGGGTGGAGGAGACCTATGGGGGCTTCAGCTGCTGCGCTCTATGCTGTGTCTCTGTTGAGTTAGAATTGTGTTACTACTTGTATGATAGAACAGGTGGTTTTAACTTAGCCAATCTGTGGCTCTTTGTGCCAGTTTTCTTCACCACGCTCAGCTGTAACTAAGGTAACTGTGGAAGCTGAGCCTGAAGAGTTGTGGCGTGGCAGGGTTCCTGCAGAGTCTGCCCTGCTGTGATCCCAGCTGAAGTGTAGCAGGAACAGAGTCCCCAGACTGGTGTTTGCCCTGGCCCTGCCAAATACAGGTGTTTTACAGCTTCCCAACCTGTTCCCTCCTCTACATGAATGCCGAGCTTGCTCCACAGTGCTGTGTGAGGCCCAAAAGAGAAGACGTCCGACAATGCTGTGTGAACTGTGTAGCACCTTAAAAAGAAAAGAAACGTGACAGAATATGAGGCCAGGGGCAGTGGCTCACACCTGTAATCCCAGCACTTTGAGAGGCCAAGGCAGGCGGATCACTTGAGGCAAGGAGTTTAGGACCATCCTGGCCAACATGGCGAAACTCCATCTCTACTAAAAATACAAAAATTGCCGGGCACAGTAGCTCATGCCTGTAATCCCAGCACTTTGAGAGGCCGAGGTGGGCGGATCACAAGGTCAGGAAATTGAGACTATCCTGGCCAATGTGGTAAAACCCTGTCTACTAAAATACAAAACAGCCAAGTGTGGTGACACACGCCTGTAGTCCCAGCTACTCGGGAGGCTGAGGCAGGGGAAACCCCTGAACCCATGAGGCAGAGGTTGTAGTGAGCTGAGATTGAGCCACTGCACTCCAGCCTGGCAAGAGCAAGGCTCTGTCTAAAAAAAAAAAAAAAAAAAAATACAAAAACTAGCCGGATGTGGTGGCACACACCTGTAATCCCAGCTACTTGGGAGGCTGAGGCAGGATAATCACTTGAACCCAGGAGGTGGAAGTTGCAGTCAGCTGTGACTGAGCCACTGCACTCCAACGTGGGCCACAGAGCTAAACCCTGTCTCAAAAAAACAAAAGCAAAAAGAAAAAAACCCCAAAAGTGACAGAATGTAGACTCCTGAGGGAGACTGCGCCTCACGGACCTCCCCTCTGCTCGGCGTGGGCTGCTCTGCTGCTCTCATCTGCTACCATACAGAGAAGGAAAGTGTATTCAGATTCGAGTTGGATTTTTTTTTAGACAAGTCTTGCTCTTGTCCCCCAGGCTGGAGTGCAGTGGTGCAATCTCGGCTCACTGCAACCTCCACCTCTTGGGTTCAAGCCACTCTCCTGCCTCAGCCTCCCAAGGAGCTGGGATTACAGGCACCTGCCACCACACCTGGCGAATTTTTGCACTTTTAGTAGAGATGGGGCTTCACCATGTTGGCCAGGCTGGTCTCGAACTCCTGACTTCAAGTGATCCACCTGCCTCGGCCTCACATAGTGCTGCGATTAGAGATGTGAGCCACTGCACTCGGATGCATTTTTTTAAAAAGCTAACTTAACTGCATAATGTGAAATAAGTCAGGACTGTGCTCTCAGGATGCTTTCATTCATTTGGTCAGACCTCTCTGGAGTAGCTCCTAGTTAATGGCTTCATCCCTCCCTTGGAAGTTGGTTCCTCCAGCCGAGCCCCAGGGCCGTGCTGGACCCCACGATGGGCCCATTCCTGTGGGACTGCAATCTCGAAAGCTTTCTGTGGAAAGCAGCACAATTCTTAGATCACCACAGAAATGGCCTCTGCAACATTTTACAGATGGGGAAAGAGAAGCCCAGAACACTCACGCCTGAGTCTCAGTGACTGAGGGGCGTTTCTCTTAGCAGCACTTGCCCGTAAGAATAGGTTCTGCATAGCTGGACTGTCGGTGCTTTCCAGAAAACACTGGCCTTCTAGCTCTGCATTTCCTTCATTCATCTTCATAGTTTTCAAGGAGTTCCATTTTCACCTATAATTGTCTTTTCAGATACATTGTTCTTCGGTTTCCTAGGGAATGCAGCAAGATATTTAATCATGCTCATTTAACAAATATTTAAATCTTTTATTGCCATTAAGTTACAGCATCTCAATATACACACTGCATGGAAATACACAGATAACATTTTTAAACAGTGGGGACAAGATTCTAGGTATGTGGCCAGCTGTCGGTTGTCTTGTGGTCATTAAAGACAATGTCAAGAAGTAGGAGTACTTAAGTACTAGTAGCTATAAATTTTGTTCTCTTCAGTTTTTCATTAAGTAAATTCTAATAGATAATATACATATTACTGCAGATAAAACCATCATCAGAAATTATTAAATTGCATATTTTGAGCTACTCTTTATGGAAAGAAGTAAAATATTTAGTACTTGTAAGGCAGCAGAGAGTTGGTTAAGAGACTCTCAGCTATTTCTATAAAAATAGAATGGCTAGTAAAAATAGCATTCAGCATATTTTCCTTAGTGAGGCTATTCATAATGAAATCTGTGACTCGGCAGCAGCTGGCAATGCTGTCCCTTCAAGAGCTTGCTCTTCATTTTCCATTGTTATGCAGATGCCTTTTTACTCATCCTGGAAAAAAACAAAAAGAAAAATTCAATGAGAAACAAAATTTCAATGCTAGTCTCAAGGGCTTTGGATGACTTTAAAAAGACACCTTTGCGTAACATTTATTTCAACTTACAAAAACAGTAATATAGGTTGGGTATCCCTTATCCGAAATGCTTAGGCCCAGGCATGTTTCAGATTTTGGAATAACTGCATTATACCAGTTGAGAATCCCTAATCTGAAAATCCAAAGTCCGAACTGCTCCAGTGAGCACTTCTTTTGGGTGTCATGTTGGCACTCTAAACGTTTTAGATTTTTAGATTTGGGATGCTCGGCCTGTATCCTACTTCATGTTAACTTTGATGTTTTAGTAAGTGGCTTCCCCAACTGCTAAAGCACATCTGTAAACACTCCAGTCCTCCAGTACCCCCTCAGACCAGATGTTAGTTTCATTCTCCCCAATTCCTCAAAAGAAAATAACTCAATTGAAGTCTGCTTACTCATGTTTGATAAGCCGCCCTCCCTGGATGAGCTGGGCTACTTCGTTTGTTGCGTGGCATGCAAACAGAAGCCAGTTCCGAGGCTGTACCTTGTAGGCAAATCTCATGAATGTCAAAGAATAGCAACAGAGGGCTGCCAAAAATATCAAAGCAAAGAGAATCAATAACTTAGAAAACTGAGAGGGTTGATAGGACCACAGAGATGAACGCTTCCATTGCCTTGATCAAAACAGAACTTCTTCTGCCAAAGCCTCTGACAGGTAACAGGAGTTGTTATTATTTAAATGGAAGCTCATAAAAATTTTTACTGTACTGCTATGCATTTTTGTGATCATGATTTAAACATTTAAGGAACATACTTCAGAGCAAGAATAGGCTGAAATCCATTCCAGCCACCTTTTTTGGTCTCCCAGAGTTGCTTATAATCCATTCATTATCTGAAAGGCTTACTATTTATTCCCTCCACAATAGTTCTATGTTCAAATATCAGGAAGTAAGTTTATATCAAGTAAGTTTAATGATATAGCATTAGGCTGGCAATTAGAATGATTAAGATGACACATTGTTCAACTGGGCATGCTAAATATGAAAGGCAAAGAAGATGTTACTACTTCCTAGATAAACATTTCTAAACACTTCCACGCCACCGCATTCCTATGTGACTTTCTAACAGTGACTGTAACATGTGGTTCTGCAATCTTGAAATGCAGGCAGTAGCTCTACTGTATTTAATGCCCTCCCAATTATCCAAATTTGCATCCTCACCAAATGTCATCCGCCCGCTGATAATCTCTGGAGACTTTTTCATGTCATTGATGGCAGCGATGGGAAGACCCCAGTTGGCTACTGGGCCCCAGAAGTGCTACAAAAAATGAGAGGAAAATAAGGGAGAGAGGAAAAATTTAAGACAACTATAAACAGCTGAAATGCCCCTTACTTTAAAGAATCAAGTGAAACACATTAAAAGAAATCTTCATTTCCATCTTGCAGGTTTACTGGGTTAATTGATGGTTAACATTTAGGCATTGGAATGTCCAGTGTCCTGTGGGCATCAGCGGTTCTTACGGGTGAGCCCAGAGCTAGAAAAGCCTTTGGCAGCTTCCCAAGGCTCCTGCTTGTTTTCACACTACAACCAAGTCATCTCTGATCGTCTCATTCAGAGAATTTAAGAACAAAAATAAGACTATCTTCTTACACAGTTTATCCTTGCTATAATTCAAACCGTGTTAGAACTATTCTCTAACTTCTTTTCCTAATTTTTCATTATTTGTCAATAGTTCTTAAAATGCAGACCCTAAATCAGATGCTTTTTCTGAAGAAAGGAACTTAACGAGAGAACAAACTGTTTTTCAGCTCATATGAGCGATCCCAAGATCAAAGAACTTAGAAGTCTACACCCAGGTCCCCAGACACTAAGAAATGAAGACTGGAAAGTACTTTCGACATAATAGCAAAAACTTATATTAATATTAAAGGAATGACCCAATCATTTTTTGTTCTACAACTACACTCCTCCGAGGATACCAGAGTGAAGTTGTCTGTGTTTGACAGCAGCCACAATCAATTTAATGTTAGAGGCTGAAATAAAATAAGGCTTGTGGCTTTTTTGTTCATTAAATTAAAAATTGTTTCATTAATTTGGAATTTGCAAATAATATTTTAAAATCTGACAGAAACCACATGTTGTTGGCTACACACCCCTTTTAGTTATCCAAACACTAAAGAGTAAAGATAGTCTTTGCTTGACTTCTGCCTATCATAATGTTTAGGTTAAATTCTGACTGCTAAATACATTTCTAGACTTTCCTTCTATTATTTATGAGGGGTTAAAATCCAAAAATTCCCTACAAAGTGGTAAACCCAGGGAAATACAAGAAAAATAAATGGGGATTAGATTTGGCATGATAGAATATTTAAAATGTTTACTTAACATGCTTACATGTAAGCCACAAGGTCATTTAAATAACTATAAAAAGTCAAAGTTCCCATATAGCCATCATGGTAAGTATTTCAGGGTTTAACATATGAGTTGTAAACTCTGTAAATTAGACACAGTTGGTTTAAAAAATCTTGAGATTGTGGGCTGACTAATTAGTCTTCTTGTATTCAGACTGGATATTATCTAAGATACTCACTGCTGCAAATTTCATTTAATTTTTTACATTTAGACAAGGTGGCTAGTGGCTCTCAAATTGAACAGCAAGGCTTTACTGGAAATATTTCTTTAAAAGTGGCAAGTTGGGCTGTGCGCAGTGTATCATACCTGCAATCCCAGCATTTTGGGAGGCTGAGGCAGGTGGATCATGAGGTCAGGAGTTCAAGACCAGCCTGGCCAACATGGTGAAACTCTGTCTCTACTAAAAATCCAAAAATTAACTGGGCATGGTGGCAGGGCGCCTGTAATCCCAGCTACTCGGGAGACTGAGGCAGAGAGTTGCTTGAACCTGGGAGGTGGAAGTTGCAGTGAGCCGAGATTGCGCCACTGCACTCCAGCCTGGGAAACAGAGCAGAGCGAGACTCCATCTCAAAAAAAAAATTACAAGTTGGAGAAGAGAAGTGTACTGCTACAGAGAATTCTATTAACAATGACCTTTAATTTCTTATATTTAGGTAGGGTATAGCCCGTTTTCTTTTTTCCTTATTCCCCATACTTTTGTAAGGGAGAGTATCAGTCTCTCCCTAACTACTTTTTTCCTACCTGTCCTTTATTGGGTGTCACTTCGGTTTTCAACTCTATTGTTCCATAGTGATCTTCCTTTTTTGACCAGGACTTTCTCCACTTGGTCTACTTTCATCTCCTTTTCTGTTCATTCTCTTTCCACTCCTCTGCACTATGGTGGTCTTGCTGTCTACTTTATCATGCATGAACCCAGGGCTGTAACAGAGCCTGAAGAGTTATTCTAAGAGGGGCATATAAACCAGTTTCTCTACCACCGGGTGTGTTATGTGTCTTCTTTCATAGTTGGGGCTAAAGTAGAAATGGACAATGAAATAAATCTTCTTTTTTTTTAACCCGCATCCCAAACGTTTGTTCTAAGAACTAGACAATGGAATAAATCTAAACCTAAAGTAGCCCTGGGAGATTCCTGGCTAAGTGATGGTATTAAAAGTTAAGTGTGGTATTAGGTAATATGAAACATAGTTTTGCAAGTTAAGAACTATACATATACTTGTGACTGTAAGTGTTGAGTTACACTGAAAATATATTTCTTTAAAAGAACACAAAAGGTAAAAATCATTTCAACGCTACCTAACCTTGGAAAGTTTATAATGCATCTTTTCTATCTAGTACAAGATTCTATTTATCTCTTCTCTTTTTTAAGAATACGTCTGATTTATGCTCTGTCAGATATTCAGCAGTCAATTTTTTTTTTTTGAGACAGAGTCTTGCTGTCCCCCACATTGAGTGCAGTGGCTTGATCTTGGCTCACTACAATCTTCGCCTCCCAGGTTCAAGCGATTCCCCTGACTCGGCCTCATGAGTAGCCGGGACTACAGGCGCGTGCCACCACGCCCAGCTAATTTTTGTATTTTTAGTAGAGATGGGGTTTCACCATCGTGGCCAGGCTGGTCTTGGAACTCCTGACCTCATGTTCTACCCACCTCGACCTCCAAAAGTGCTAGGATTACAGGCGTGAGCCACTGCACCTGGCCTTCAGCAGTCAATTTTGAGAAAAATAAGGAATCTCATTAGTGATATTCAAAAAGAGAAATTAACACGTTGGATTAAATGCAAAAATTTTAATTCATTATAATTCTTAATAGTGCTGAAAACAAAGTTCAAACAGAATTATGCAACATCTTCTGTGTGAAAATCAAGCCATGGAAATGAACTCCACCCTACCGTAAAAAAAAAAAATCATCCCATTCTTCTTTTCCTGCCTTCTCTTTTTCTTTGTCTCTTTCCCTTGCATTGGCTGCCAGCTCCACAGTGACTTATCAATGAAGTAATTATATGCTTGTTTCTAAAAACAGGAGTAGGGAGCAGCCCCAGCAGCATGGCTCTCACAGAGCTCATGTGGGGCTCTCTAGGACAGGCTAGGGTGCAGTGGGTACCCTTCACAACTTGCCAGCAATGGTGGCTAGGGAGGCTGTCACAAGCAAAGGACACTAAGTCTGTTGTCCATAACTCTGTTAATGCAGAAAGTCTGCAAAAGCCTGAAATGGCTGGAAATAATTTTCTTACCGTACTGTTTTGTGAAGATTCAACGAAGTTCAGACAGGAGAGACATGGAAGAAAAAAAAAAAATCAAATGATTTTGGTCTTAGTAGGTTACTACAACCTCACACCTGTATTCAGATTTCAGTAATAGGACTATAATGTTAACAGTGTGCATCATTTATTTATTTATTTTTAAAAGATCAAGTAATATTATTTCTAATAAGAACTTTGACTTAACGAAATTATATCTTAATTTGTGGAAAATAAGTGCAATCCTTAGAGCAGAATTGTCCAACAGAAATATAATGCAAGGCACAAATACAAGCCACATATTTAATTTAAAATTTCTAGAAGCCACATTAAGAAAAGTAAAAAGAAGGCCAGGCATGCTGGCTCATGCCTGTAATCCCAGCACTTTGGGAGGCTAAGGCAGGAGGATTGCTTGGGACCAGCAGTTCACTATCAGTCTGGGCAACATGCTGAGACCCCATCTATACACAAATATATTTAAAAAGTTAGCTGGGCATGGGTGATATGTGCCTCCCAGGAGTTCAAGTCTGCAGTGAGGTGTGATCACACCACTGCACTTTAGCCTGGCAACAGAGCAAGACCCTATCTGGGAAAAAAAAAAAAAAAAAAGAAAGGTAAAAAGAAACCGCAGAATTCATTGTTGAATGAATGAATGAATAGTAAAAACTTTTTTCCAGAAGGTTAAACTTTAAAAAAACACCAAAAATTTATAATGAGTTACTTTTATTTCTGAAATCGCAGTTGCTCTTGCCAGGATATACAGGAGCTCTTCTCTTAGGGCAAAATCTCAAAGTTGAGCTACTGAGTTACTGAAATAAAATAATAAAATTGGCCAGGCACAGTGGCTTATACCTGTAATCCCAGCACTTTGGGAGGCCTGCTGGGGTAGATCACCTGAGGTTAGGCGTTCAAGATTAGCCTGGCCAACATGGTGAAACCCCCATCTCTACTAAAAATACAAAAATTAGTGGGACCCAGTGGAATGCACCTATGATCCCAGCTACTCAGGAGGCTGAGGCAGGAGAATTGCTTGAACCTGGGAGGCAGAGGTTGCAGTGAGCTGAAATCATGCCACTGCACTCCAGCCCGGGCAACAGAGTCATACAGCCACTTTGGAAAAACAGTTTTGCAGTTTCTTACACATTCCTTTGGTATTGACCCATAGGAGTTGAACACTTAGGTCCACACAGAAACCTGTATGTGAATATTTATAGAGGTTTATTCATAATTGCCAAAACTTGGAAGCAAACAAGATGTCCTTTGATAGGTGAACAGAAAAATAACCTTCTTTAACTGCATCCCACAAATTTTGATAAGTTGTATTTGCATTTTATTTAGTTCAAAATATTAAAAAATTTATCTTGAGATTTCTTCTTTGACCCAGAGTTACTTAGAAATGCTGTTTAATCTCCAAGTACTAGGGATTTTCCAGTTATCTTTCTGTTACTGACTCCTAGTTTAATTTCAAAGTAGACACCATATGATTCCTAGTCTTTTAAACTGATCCAGAATATAATTTATCTTGGTGAGTGTTCCATGTGAGCTTGAGAAGAATGTGTATTCTACTGCTGTTACATGTAGCAGTCTACTGATGTTCATCATATCCAGTTGATTCATTGTTTTGTTGAGTTAAATTACGTCCATACTGATTTTCTGCCTGCTGGGTCTATTTATGATGGAGGGGTGAAATCTCCAATTATATTAGTGGATTCTATTTTTTCTTGAAATTCTGTCAGTTTTTGCCTCATCTGTTTAAATGCTCTGATGGTGCATACACATTAAAGATTGTTACCTGTAGTAGAGCTCTCCAGAGAGACAGAACCAATAGAATGGATATAGATACATATACACATACACGTGTGTATATATATATATATGATTTTTAGTGGAAATTGGCTTATGCAGTTACAGAAGTAGTAAGTCTCAGAAGCTGGAGAATCAGTGAAGCCAGTGCTATAATTCAGTCTGAGTCCAAAGGCCTGAGAACTAGGGGAGCTGATGGTGTAACTCAGTCCAAGACTAAAGACCCTGAGAACTTGAAGGGCCGCTGGTGTGAATTTAGAGTCCAAAAGCCCAAGAAATTAGAGTTCTGAAGAAGAAAATGGAAGGGGAAAAGAAAATGGATGTCCGAGCTCCAGAAGAGAGAGCAAATTGTCTTTTCTCTACCTTTCTGTTCTACTGGGGCCCTCAACAGATTGGATGATGCCCACTTACACGTGTGAGGGCACATCTTTACTCAGACTACCCATTCAAATGCTAATCTCTTCCAGAAAACACCTGCATAGACATGCCCAGAAATAATGGTTTACCATCTATCTGGGTATCTGTTAACCTAGTAAAGCTGACACCTAAAATCAACCATCACATATGTCTTTTTGGAGAGTTGATCCCTTATCATATGTAACGTCTCTCTTTATCCCTGGTAACTTTCCTTGCTCTGAAGGATGCTCTATCTATAGCTACCCCTGCCTTTCCTTGATTAATGTTAACATGGTACACCTATCTCTACCTATTTAATCTACATGTGTATTTACACTTAAAGTGGGTTTCTTGTAGACAGTGTATATTGAGTCTTATTTTTTGTCAATGCCTACAATGCCTTTAATTGGTACTTTTAGTCCACTGACATTCCAAGTGATTAATGACATAGCTGGATTAATAATGACCATATTTGTTACTGTTGTCTATTTGTTGTTCTTGTTCTTTGTTTGCCTTCTATTCTTTTTCTGCCTTTTATGGTTTTAAATGAGTGTTTTGTATGACTACATTTTCCCTCCTTTCCTGGCATATTATAATTTTTAAAAAAATTTTAGTGTGATTTTTTAAATGCCATATGCATGTACAATCAGAATCTGAGACTTGTAATTAATCTTTCTACATATGGTGTGTACTTTAATAGTATTTTCAGATATGCAGTTTGAAAGACAGTATATTAGTTACAGAGAGGAAAACAAGAAATAAAAGGAAGGAAGGGTTCCAAGATTGAGAGACACTACTGGCATAAACATCGTTTGCTTATTTCTATTTCTTGTAGAGAGGTAAGAGTTATCTACTGTCACTGTTCCAAGTCTGCACCGGGAAACATAGCACGGCCACTCTAGCCAAGTGCTTCTATTATTACTTCCATCAGAAGTTTGATGAAGTGTGGTGATAAAGGAGGATGACTCTGACAGAATAAACTGTATCACTGTTTTCCCCTTAATTTGAAATAGTGATTACTTGGCTCAAAGCTGCTTCTAAGCTCATTTTATTTTTGGAATGTTTTCTAGGCACTGCCAGTCTCAGTCTTACATATGAATGTAATATCTATAACACATAGATATTATATATATATATATATATATATATATATACATACATACATACAGTAGGCAGAGCTAGTTGAGGTTTTATTTTGGAAAAAAGCAATAGAATTGTTTTGTAGCTGGAGACGTGGGCGAGGGGGTTACCCCAGGCAGTAAACTCTCCCCACAGGTGGGCTAAGGGATAGAGCTGAGCCTCAGGTGGTGATATGGTTTGGCTGTGTCCCCACCCAAATCTCATCTTGAATTCACACACATTGTGGGAGAGACCCGGGAGGTGATTGAATTATGGGAGCAGGTCTTTCTCCCTGTTGTTCTCATGATACTGAATAAGTGTCAGGGGATCTGATGGCTTTAAAAGGGGGAGTTTCCCTGTACAAGCGCTCTTTTCCTGCTGCCATTCATGTTAAGATGTGACTTGCTCCTCCTTGCCTTCTACCATGATTGTGAGGACTCCCCAACTATGTGGAACTGTAAGTCCTTTAAACCTCTTTCTCTTTCCAGTCTTGGCTATGTCTTTTCAGCAGTGTGAAAACAGAAGGAAGCCCTGACAGAGGGCTGGCCTTTGAGGCCCTCAATCTCAGTGTGGAGCCAGCCGATGTTCCGGTTCATCTTGGAGATCTCAGTCTTTGTACAATGCAGGTCACCTCCATGTTTTCAGGCCAGTGTCTGCAGCTTCTCACACTTGATCTGGTACATGCTCTCAGTCTTGGCCTGGCTGTGGTTGACAATCTCCTCATACTGGGCCTTGACCTCAGCAATCATGCTGACCATGTCCAGGGAGCAGCTGTTGTCCGTGGACAGCACCACAGATGTGTCTGAGATCTGAGACTCCAACTCCCAGATCTCTTCACAAAGCTG